CCTTGTGGGTTGCCATACCAAACCGGCTGGGAACTTCTCCAAAGATGTTCACTCAGAAGTAAGTGCCAATGAGTTTGCTGGGGGTTTACTCTCAAGTAAGTGGGTGTACAGCTGCCGCATTCCACTCTGGTCCTTCTCTATCTCTAGTCTTTCTAGAGATGTAAAGAGAGAATTTCTCTTGGCAGTTAAATCTCTCTCCTCCTTCTCCTCTCCCCCCTCCCCTCCCCTCCCCCATCATTATAGGATGGTATCTGCTAGTGTTTCTCGTCGGCAGTCTTTGTGGCTTTATTTTTTTGAACTTTTAAAACATTTTTAATCTTTCCTTTTATCTTGCTTTAATCTGCTATCCTTTTGTGTGTGCATGCCTGTGAAAGATTTATAGTGTTTTTATTATGTATATGCATTCGGGAGGCCTTTGGGCTGTTGTGTGCGTTTTTAGAAAGCTAAATAATGGTGATCTCATTATCAAATTGGGCCAGGCTTGGGTGCTGGAACTCTAGCAGAGGTACAGGAAGGCTCAAAAGGCCCGAGCCATTCCTGTTCTTGTTTTGTTTTTTGAGGAGGTTGAGACGGAGGGAAACGAGTTACAGAGAAGAACACTCTAAAATCTCTTGCTGTACATTTCCCCCCATATATGAGGCTTTCAGAAAATGAATTGCAGGTAGGTGAGCACACGTCTTCTACTTTCCTTTCGTTGGCACCAGTAACCTTCTAATTTACGGTGACCAGCGGTGGTGTGTTGATAAATTTTGAAGTGCGGGTGCTAGTCATGGCAGCTCCCTTCATAACAGGGCCGTCCTAGGACATTTTGCTGCCTGGAGGGTAACAGCAAAAGGTGTCTTTCCTTCTTCCCCCACCATCACCCAAACTTAGGTGCATAATGCCCAAGGCTAGCTAAGTTCTTCTGGCACCTGGCACAGAAAAGCTCACAAGCAGCTCAGCCCGATGCCACATTCACACCCATACATTGAAAGCACTCTTAAACAGCTGTAGATCTGTGAGGTGAGCACCCTTAAGAAACTACAATTCCCAGGAACTATAGTTCCCAGGAACCTCCATGACTATTAAAGTGGAGGTATGGGGTGGAATGAAAACCTATTTCTTAAAATAAAATAGAAACAACCTACAAATGTGCTTCTGTTTCATGCCACCCTCAATCTATTTCTTGAAACAGTCCCCTTGCTCTGCCAAACGATGGGACCTGCAATGCCTGCAAGGACAGACTGCCCTTGCCAAAAAGTCCCACCTTTAAGCCTCCATAGGTCCATTGTGGTTTCTGTGTCATAGTAACTCGAAACAATGAAAGAAAGTTGGCTGAGTGGAATGGTATCGGTAGTTGGGATTGGTCTGATTGTGCCCCCCTCACTCTTGTCACATTCTAGCGTGACAGCGGCTGCCGTCATACGCATGCTTATTTATTAATTTACTATATGAGTCACTTTCCCCCCCAGAAAGGTGATCTCAAAGTGACTTGCAAAGCAAACATTAAAACAAGTGTAGAAAAGTGCTCAGCAGTAATATGCACCAAAGAGCAAAAGATTCAGCTCAAAAAATTAGCAGTAAATTAACGTCCAATTCCTGGGTGAATGAAAATGTTTTGTCTGGCACCTAAAAACAGATATCGACTGTGTCAGGCAAGCCTCTCAGGGGAGAACATGGGGACACCACTGAGAAGGCCCATTCTTATGTCTCCACCCACTGCATCACATCCAGAGAAGAGCCTTGGGTAACATATGCAGGATCTGGGTCAGTTCATGTGAACTTGGGAGCAGACTCCATTTGGACTGGGTGTGAATAACTTCTGAGTGAACGTGCCCTGGAGTGTGTGAAATGTATTCCACGGGCATAGACTGCTAATGCTACAGGGACCCCCCCCCCATTTGCCTTCCAAAGACTCTTCAGTTCGCCTTCCTCCTCTCCAGCTTGTTTCTGTGAAAGGGATGCTGCCTCAGGCCCACCCCTTCTCGTGGCCTCTCTTCAGAAAGAATACGGGAGGCAGGAGGCACATTGGATTGTCTTCTCTCGCAATGCCTGTTGGAGGATGTTTAGGGAGCCCGAGTGATGCTGAGAGTTTAGTCTCTTAACGCATCACTCCGGAATGTTGTTAATGCAATAGAGAACGGAGTGGCACAATTTTGCAAATTGAATGTGCATTCTAATCAATGTGGCTCGTTCAATTTGCAGGCATGAGAAATACGAATGCCACTCTTGGCGTCATTTGTGAAAACGCTCTGTTTATACAGCACACATATCAGCAGGAAGACAATAGCAGGCTTCTTTCTTTCTTTCTTCTTTTGCTTCTCCTCCCCCTCTAGGGAACTGAAGGCGGCTTGGAAAAAAAGGATCTGCAGCCTTTCCTGTGTATGCGCTCAATCCCACTTTCACCTCCAGCAAATGAGTTGGACAGGTCTTGGAATCACTTCCAAAACCTGTCCATGGCTTTTGACTGGAGAAGACTGGACCATTCCATGCATGTATTTGAAGCATCTGGCTTCCCTGTAGAATGCTGGGAACTGTGGTTCACCCCTCACAGAGCTGCAATTCCCAGGCCCCTTAACAAACTATAGTTCTCGAGGTGAATGGTGTGGATATGCCCTATAGGCACTGCCAGGCTGCCTCTATTTTCAGGTGGGATTTGGTCGCATACCGACAAATTTGGGTTGTGCAATTAAAGTTGATTTGGAGCTCTTGTGCAACAAATCCACTTACCCGATTGATCAGAAAAGTGTGATAAGGAAAGTGAAGATATAGTGGAAAGTGTGGGGTGATGCTTGCCTTTATCCTCTAGCTTCCCCTGACCCAATCATCGTTTAATGTCATCTAATAACTCTCACAAGCAAAGAAGCATGAATGCCCAATAAACAGGTCATCTGGAAGCAGTCTCCAGGCTTCAGTCCTCCAGACAAAATGAACAAAATGAGGTGAGACCTCTCCCAAACTGCATTCAGTTCTCTTAAAAACAACTGTTTCCTCCAGCTAAAAGTTCAGAGCTCCCTGTGAACTAATTTATTATTATTCCCATTGCACAGATGGGGAACTGAGGCTAATAGACAAGGACTAGTTCTCAGTGGTTCCATAGCAGGGCAGAACTTGAAGACAGAAACTGATCTCTCCTTGAAAAATGACGTATTCTTATGCTTGGAGCAGCAACTGGAAAGGGAAAATAATGGGTTCCTTTGTGGCCAATCCAAAAGCATGGAATTGAGCAGGCTCTGTGAGTGGAAATGTCAGGAATCCTGACCTTCTGCCCCTTCAGTGTCTGTACGAAATTCTTATATCTGGGTCTCCCAAAGTAAGAGACAAGCTTCGCTTTGGGAGCTATGGACAGTTGCCAAGGGAGAGGCAAGTTTCTTCCCGAGACACCTCCTTCCCTGCCCACTTCAAATAGTGTGTGCTGTGATTGGCCAGAGTGCCCACCCATCCACACCCGTTCAATTTCAAGGTTGGGGCTGCGGTACACACCGTATCTTTAAAGCACATGACTTTTCCCCAAAGCACCCTGGGAGCTGTAGTGTATCCCACAGAGCTACAATTCCCAGCACCCTCGATAAACCAAAGGCTGTGTACACACCATACTTTTAGGCTTTGGAGGGCAGGGGTGGGCTCTCTTGTTTGAGAGTTGGTTTTTTTCTGTTAAGGATTCTCTCTTAGGGACCTTCTAAGTGCATCTTTTCCTTTCTTTTTTGTTGTTGAAAAAATTGCCGCATGGAGTCAATTCCATTTGGCCGACTCCAGTTGTTGGGCAGCCAAATACCCCACAGAAACTCACAAGCAAGGCAACTCCCCTGTACTCTGTACTTAGCACCTGCTCTTCAGAGAAATCCCGCAGAAGTAGCCATGTCGATGAAGGCTAATGCCTGCCCCTCAGGAAATATTATCTACTCTTTTTTAAAAAAAACAAAACAAACGCTGCTTATGAGAGGGGCCATCGCAACACCCTCTGGCGACAAATTCCACAGATTAGTTATGCATCGGGTGAAGAAATAACTTTGCCTTGTATGTCCTAAGCCTACCGTCAATCAGATTCGTTGGATGAGCATGAATCCTAGTGTTTGGGGAGAGAATGAATAATTGCTCTGTTCACTGTTCTCGCTTTTCGGGCCAAGCCTCTTATATTGGACTAATTGTGGAAGATGGGCAGTGGGTTGGCGCTCCGCCTTCTGGCTCCAACGAGGCTCCCAATGGGAAGGACCTGGGAGGTCTTCGCGCGCCATCCCTGGCTGCGGTCCATGAATCTCCCCTGGGGAGGTTCATTGCATGCCCTCCTTTTTTTGCAAAATTAGTCAACTATGTTCCGCTTTAATTATTTTCGAGGATTCTTGCGGTGCGTGGGTTAGCGGGAGCGGAATAAATGGCCTGGTGTTTCTGGTGGGGTGCAAGCAGGCAGGCAACCCTGCAGGGTGGGCTAGCAGGAGAGGCCTCAGGTTCGGACTGACAAGCATCTGCAGAGCTGTCTTGGGTGTGTGATGGGCTGTTGACCTTGTCAAGGGGAGTCTGACCTTGGCCGTCACAGCCGGCTGCGCAGTAGGTGCCACAGAGACCCTTTGAGCAGAGGGGAGACGGGTGGGAGAAGAGGAAGGAGCTGACACAGCATTAAACCGTAGCACCCCCCTCCCCTCCCACTACACACCAGAGTTATGGCACCTAGCAACAGCCGATGGGGGCGTTGCTAAGGCAACCGGGATGGTGATGCGGCAGCTGCTAGTGACACAAGCTGGGATGGAGGAGGCTGCTGGGTAACCCTGGGGTCAGGTCCCAGCCACAGACCCCTTTTTCTTCCTCAGCTCAGTTATTGAGACTGATATTGGGGGGGGGGTGGAAAGAAAATAGGGGCCAGCGACATCACAGCTGCGGCATGCACAGGCCGGGAACGATCTCTGCTAGTCAGAAGTGTGCTTGCTCCCCGTCACGTTTCCAGACAGACCCAGTGCTTACACTGCAAGTATGTGTGGAGGGAGGACAGGCACAGGATGTTTTCCCAACAGCCTGAGCAAGCATCAGGTGGTGCAGTGGGTCGTCGCGTTTGGCTGTTAACCAGAAGGCTGGTGGTTCAAGCCCACCCAGGAACAACTGTGGGCAGTATCCCTGTGTTGCAGGAGGTTGCACTAGATGACCCTAATTCACCTCTCACAAAACTGCAATTCCCAGCACCCTGGCAAACTACAGCTCCCAGGATTCTTTTGGGCTTTTGTGCTTTAAATGTATGATACATGTACATATACATGTCACACTAGTTTGGAACTTAACTCTATGAGATGATAGATAGATAGATAAGAAATTCCTATACTATAAGACCGAGTACTACTTGGATAGCATTCAGGTGAGTCCTTGGTTAAAGCCTCAAGCAAAAAGAGCTCAGCTTCTCTCCGAATACCTCCCTCCCTCCCTCGCTCCCCCACAAAATAAGTTAATAAATAAATACGCACAACTCTATTCTCAACAGGACCTCAGCGCCAAAGTTATATAGCTGGGCCTGATCATTACTCCTATGGTCAAACATTTCAAATTCTGTGCCAAGCGAAGCTAGCGCTGCTTATGGGGAGCCTGGAAAAGAATTTATGCAGGTCAGTTAAAAAAAGAAAGAAATCTATGCAAACTTTGTTGCTTGCATAAACATGCTTTGTTTGCATGCTGTGCATCTGAGCTTGTCATCTCTGTGTGTTCTCCGCAGAATTGGGAACATACTTTCCTTGGAGGGGAAAGAATGGCAGGGAGGAGCGAAGCGGAGGTGGGTGGTGTGGGGGACGTGGTAGAGGTGGTTGACAAAAATAAGCTGGCGTTTCTCAACGTTTTAGAGGTTGCGTCTCTCCCCCCCCTTGCCCCCAACCTGGCTGCCTTCTCTCTTCCAACACAGTTCCTCCTAACTGCAGAGGGAACATGCAACCTCTTTGGCGTGCACATATTTCTGGGTAGGGTCACTAGTTTGGTCCATCTATACCGGAACCAGCTTGGACCCTGCAGTCTTCATCTGATGTCCTCCTCTGTATGCCCTGTCTGAGGAAAGTGCAGAGCGTGCCTGCATAACAGGACTTTGAGTGGTGGTCTCCCCATCTGTGAAATGTTCTCCTTTGAGAAGTGCCTCGCACCATCTATTTCAGTTTTTAAGCTCCAGGCTAAGACCTTTCTGTTTAGCTAGGTCTTTGGTTCATTAATGTCGCCTCCTATGGCAGTGCTTATCTTTTGGTGAGGCGGGTTGGACTTGGCTCCTAATTTGTTCCTGGATGAGGAGGTTGTGCATTTTTTAATTGCCAGTGTTTTAAATTTTCTCTGGTTTTATATTGTTTTGATGTGTTGCATTTTATTTTTGTCTAGTCATCCTTAGACTGGGGTGGGGGGTAGGGAAGAGTAAAAAGTCACATATCAATTCATTAAATAAAAATTAATGGAGGACTGAGCGGGTAAGACCAATAGTGGGTCCAATGGTCAGGAAGGTGGTTTCTGATCACGCTGTCGATGGAAGTGAGGGGCAGATGGGGCTTGCCAACCTGCGAAGGTAGTCCATCTAGGAGAAGGAAAACTCTGATCCTAAAACCTCCTCTGCCTTCTGAGATATCTTCAGGAGAAGAAAATGCTAAGGAGTAAACCCTACACGGGACGCGGGTGGCACTGTGGGTTAAACCACAGAGCCTAGGACTTGCTGATCAGAAGGTCGGTGGTTCGAATCCCTGCGACAGGGTGAGCTCCCATTGCTCAGTCCCTGCTCCTGCCAACCTAGCAGTTCGAAAGCACGTCAAAGTGCAAGTAGGGCGGGAAGGTAAACGGCGTTTCCGTGCATTGCTCTGGTTCACCAGAAGCGGCTTAGTCATGCTGGCCACATGACCCGGAAGCTGTACGCCGGCTCCCTCGGCCAATAAAGGGAGATGAGCGCCGTAACCCCAGAGTCGGTCACGACTGGACCTAATGGTCAGGGGTCCCTTTGCCTTTGCCTTTGAAACCCTACACAAATCTGGAGTGGAGTTTCTAAGATGGTTGGATAGCACCTTGTACGCCTCCCTCTGGCAACTCCTGCAGCCAAGTATATTGCTCTGCTTTCCTCTGGACCACATCAGTGTGGCTGAGAGGTGGGTCTTGTCATCTGGGCAGCCCAGGGCCTTCACTCACACCCTGCCTACACCCCGGGGAGGTCACTTCGATGCTGCTAATGCAGCAGTTTGACTTCACCCCTTGAGGCGCACTCCATTGTTTCTCTGCCAACAATGGAATGGATCGGTGGTAGAGTCAGGACAGGCAGAAGAAAGTACAGTACTTCTTTCAAACAACTTGGTTACTGAGTCCACTGCCACAAGATAGCTTTAAGTGGCTTAAAAGGGGATTAGCGAAATTCTTGGAAGAGGGTGGTTGAGTATTATTATGGGATACCCACTGCAGCAGGAGGCGTTGTGGCGAGCTGTTGTAGGAGCTGTAAAGGAACTTGGTCTCTGAGCTTACCTGCTTTGTCCCTGCTTCACAAAGAAGGGTGTATCCCTAAAGCAGGCAGCGGCCTCTGGGGAGGTGCCAGTTGAAATGCTTGTTTAATTAAGGGGTGAATGAAATTTTTGTGTGTGCGCGTAAGCAAAGGTTTGCTAATGAAGAGCAGGTGTCTTCTAATGAGGGTTAGAATTATGGAGCCAGCTCCAATTATCAAGGAAGGGGAATTAATTTCATGCAGGAGAAACGTGCCGCCGGTTGCCGAGAGGAGAGCCCCAATACCCCCCAAGGTGTTGTGAGCTCACAGCTGAGGGGCGCTGAGGTCCTGGATGCATGTGGCAGCCTCTCTTTCTGCTGTGGCTTGGATATCAGGTTTAGGCTGATGTCTTCCGCCAAGAGCATTTACAGACAGAAGAACGAGTGTGAGTTGAGCCTGCCTCTCCTCGCAACTCCATGGTGTTTGTATCAGCTCTGCTTTCTGCTGCCTAAGTAACCCTCCTGACCTCTTGAGTAACTGTACTCCCCTTTGAGGGCGATGCTCACAATCCATCTGCTGCCAAATTCTACAGATTCTCCACTTACTTCCCTGTTCCTTTAAAACAAAAGACAAAACATCCTCATTCTCAGACAGAACCAGGATCAAGATTACTGTGCCACCTTTCTGCAGCTTCTGCTGCACTACATCTTGGCTAGGGCGGAAGGGCTTTTCAGCCCAGCCACACTTGAGGGGTGACAGCTTCCCCATCTCTCTCATTGTGCAATCTTGCAGCCTTTGCGCAACTCGTTTTGGGTCCTTAGATCACAAATAGAGCGATTCACCAACAGAAACACTCCTGGGTATAGGAAACCTCCGAATCCACTAGTCCTCTCCTGCCAGTTCCTGGAATCTCAGGTTGACTTCTGGGGCAGAGACAGATTGACAAATGGAAGGAAACCCGAGAGGAGTCACAACGATGATGAATGTGCCACCGCAAGGCAGTTTGGGAGAGATTTACAGAGCTGAAAGCTCAGTTCTGCTGTTCCGAACTGGGATATGCAAGCACTGTTGGCGTGTTGTGTGTGCATGCTCGCTGGCTGGCTAGTTGCAGGAACACACCTTGCCTTTGTGTTGGTGTTGTCGCTTCAGGATTTATAGATCTGTGCTGGAGTTCCACATGGGGACCTGCAAAGCCTGTTCCAGGTAGCCCTAAGTTTGGTGACTGGGAACGTTGTTTGTCTGAGCACTTTTGATCCTTGCCGCCAAGGCTGACCCCTGCCAATCTCTGGGGCTGAGGGGGACCTGCACAGGGTCTGCAGTCTACAGATCTGGTTTTCTGGACTTTTTTGGGTAGTCTGGTGGCAGGGGGAGGGTAGCATCTGTCTACATGGAAGCTGAACCTTCCACCTGGGAAGTATTTCCTCCTAATACTGGAAGTTCATCGGCTTATGCTTACTTGCTGGTAAAAGGCATTCTGCCCTGAAGGACACAAGTGGAGACCCTCATTGAGATAGGTATATCCAGCATCTCTCTCTCTCTCTCTCTCTCTGAGGTATACTGTGTTCGAATATGGAAGCTATTTTTTGCTCTGATGACTAATATTATTCCACAGCAGACCTGAGCGGTCTGGCCCAAGGACCATGCGTGGTCCTTGGCCTAATTTCATGTAGGTGGCATGGAGGGGGGAAATGGGGGTGGAAGAGGCAGAAAGAGAGCTAGAGAGAGAGAATTGGGGTTTCCTCACTTTTGGTTTGGTCTCATCCACCTGCAGCTCTGGCCCCCAACAATTTAACCCTGAGGGAAAGTGGCCCTCAACATAAGAAATAGCTCCCTTCCCATAATTCCCAATATTCGTAACACACTTAAATCAATTTTTGCCCATCTTTTCTGAGCCTGGGTACTGAAAGTCGGCCAGAATGAAAAAGATCCAGGTTGGATGTAACACTAAACTGTAGTTTGGCTCTACTTGCAATGGGCCTGCTGGATTCTTGGGCTTGTGTGCTCTCTCCCTCTCCCTCTCCTCTAAGGCGCACCAGGGGAGATCGAAACACTTGCTTCCTTGTTTAAACGTATCACAGTTCGTCATTATGCATGAAGCTGGGCTAAACCGAGCTTAAACTGTGTTTTATTGAAACAGGGTTTAGAGTTGCATCTGAACCAGGCCGGCGGCTTTCCTTTGGGATATACCGAGGCTCTGAATTGAATCCTTTGCTAAGGAATTTGGACAGCGCAAGCCGAAAGTGAGATGGTTGTTCAGCACCATGTTGACATAACCTGTAATAACCTCCTGCCATCTCATCTCTGCTGCTCTCACTTCTGCACCACACTGAGGATGCAGAAGTCGCTACCTGCCTGAGCTCTAAATCCACACACACACACACACACACACACACACACACATATTAATGCTGTTGGGGCGCTGGTGCTGGGAGATGGGGGTGGAGTCTTCCTCCATTGATGGCTTTGCACGACAAAGAGGATTTACCAAGAGGATTTTGCAGCCCTGGCGAACAGCACTTGCGAAACAGCACTGTCAAGAGGGAGAGAGGTTCCTACAACACAGAGCTAAAGTAACTCCCACCTCCCCTTTGGCTGGCACTGCTGGCTGCAGCTCTGTGGCTCCTCCCTTCCCCAGCATGACCGGATCATACCATGATAATGGTGGGCTTCTCTAAAGGGGCAAAG